TTTGTTTCTAAATCAGTTGATAGGCTGTTATTGTTTAAAAGCTTTTTAAAGTAAGACAGCCATTCATTGGGCTCAATTGAATTGTTATTGTTATCTAAACAATCTGAATTTAGGTCTCGTAACAGCTTCCAAAATGTTTATGGTTTACCTTCCGAATCACTTAGCTTTGATAACTGGTGCTGTTTTAAGTCATATTTTTTCCTTTTAATTAATTAAGTAGAGAGTATATACCTGTGAGCATATTTACAGAACGGTGTTGCTTGGTTCAGTACATTATTTTTGGAGGGGTGGGATGGGAGTGGCTCCTTGTGTGTAGCTAGCTGACTTGGTAGCGAAGGACTTGTTTGCTTGGTCATGGTATTATAACGCTGGACACTGTCTTTAACGCAAAGATGAACTGCATAACATGAAGACGTGTGTAAAATAACATTAAGATTGGAATGCATAACATAAATATGGGACTGCATAACATAACGACGTGACTGCAAAACATATAAATTAAACTGCATAACATAAATACGAAACTGCATGGCATAAATACGTGACTGCATAACACAAAAATGGGACTGCATAATATACACGGCTGCATAACATAAATATGCGACTGCATAACACAGGGGTAGAACTGCATAACATATAAAGACAAGACTGCATAACATAAATACGGAACTGCATAACACTCGCTTCGTCGCATAATCACACCTATAAATCTAGTACGTACCTCGGCATTTCGGGTTAGTGCCAGGGTTGAAGGAAGACGGGGTAAATTCTCCACCTGAACAAGTGGCTTCCGTGAGGCCTGACAGCGAATATCCTTCGTCACAGTACACATTGATAACTCCTCCGTTGCCCGGTACAGGGAACGTAGAACCGCTCGCAGGTTGGAAATAACCGTTCACCAAACCAGTCGGCTCATTGCAATCCGCTGTGGAACAGAGATATATTTATTGAAATGAACAATGCGGAACCAAAAAAAGTATGGCTCATTTTGAGGACCAAATTATGATTCATCGTACTAAAAAATATAAAAACATAATACGCATGCGCATTGTACGTCACAACATAATTAATACACACGCGCAGTGAGGACTTTTGAGCTTCAAGAATAACTTTCATGGTTTGTAATTGAAGGGCGGTGGTCGTCGCGCCACGCACGCGCGAGATATGGGACTCATATGAACAAAGATGGCGACTGTTGCACAGTCCAACAAGTACTAAGACCTAAGACGTTACTATGATTTAACTATGTAATTTCCATGG